AGGCTCGAAAACGTAGTCCCTGACTCTACAAGTGTCAGGTTTAGGTTCCTTGCGGACTGACACTTGTGGAGAATTTACTGTACTCTTCTCTATGCTAATGCACACAAGATCGACCTGCATCCTGATAATCACTAATAGAATTCAATACCAATTTTCCATCTTCAAAACTTTCGTCTAATCGTTGGAAATCTCGTCGATCAGGAACTTCTCCATATATTTCGCGTACTAAAGAATAATTTTCGAATGCACCAGCAATTTGGCGAATATTTTGCACCATTATAAACACTATGTCTCACGAACTGAACGCTAGGAACAACTCTAATAACCGTTGCTACGTGTTTTATAATGCTTCAGCGGTTTGTTTACATTCTCGCCATGATTGTTGATGCACAGAGTTTAAGTTTCAAATGTGGAGCAGTTAAGAACAAAATTCATCTAACTGGCGAGAAAAGTTCAATATCAATTTCTGACAAAACGGTTGTTTTGGGATATGTGGGTGCTTTAAAACCTTTGGTTTCCTTTATGAGTGGAACACGATATGCAGAATCATCTGTGAAAATCACGATACAACATATCTTTACACCCTGCGCGACCTATATTTCGATTCTAAAATATATTTTAATAATGGCCTTTTGTTAAGTTAACGCGTTCGCTGTTAGTGTAGTTCCATATTCTAATGGTCGCTGCTCGAAATAAAGTTTCTCCTTTAGCAAGGAGAGGTACCAGGTGTAAACTAGCAGCTAACGAGTTTCTGCATCGCGATAAAGCCTGAAACGCTGTTTTCTTCTCTTTATGACTTAATTTACGACTACGTTATTATTCTGCATGGTGTGTACATACTGGATACTTTGAATTGAATATCAAATGTTGAAGGGTAATTAACTTTTACGTTCTCTCTTTTTGGAGATATCTCTTCAGTAAATTAAATCGAAACTTAAATTTAACAATCTGATAATTCCTTGGTTCGATCGATACGATTTAATTAATTATAAAATAAATTAACACGTTCGCTAGCAGTGTCATATATGTACATATGTGTGACGGTAACCGAATTTCATTTATTCACTGCATAAATAAACGAAATCTGCTCTGAACCTGGTAAATATGCTTGCAAATAGTCGAGAATATAATTATGTAACACGCGTGACCTGAGATTGTGTTACGATATTTTAACACATTTATTAAAACAAATTATCAGCTTGTGTCCCAGTGTAAAGCATGGTCTGTGGTGAGAGTTCTGTCTCCGTGGCGTTGAAGTGAACGTGTTAACAAAAATAAATTTTTCAAATTTTAAGAATAATCAAATGAAAAGTAAAATTAAAATAAGTTACACTGCTTTTTCTCGAATTCAAAGGGGAAAAAAGATCACGCAACGAACTTCATTCAAGTCGATGATTCACATTCGAAGCCGTGAGTCAGCGTACAGTTGGTGGAATCGATATAGTGAAGTAGTAAATTAGAAGATCATTAACCCCTTGCCTTTCAGACCATCAATTGCAACGAATAAAATATACATCAGTTTTCATTAAAATTGTGTACAATAAAACGAAAACTATTTTATTTTTGATAGAATAAATTGGTAAATTAATAGTATAAATTAAAGAAAAGGATAAAAAATATACTCGTTTGCTGGCAATTACAGTAAACAGTTTTTTTTTTATAAGACGTTCACGTATGATACTGTGTTGTAATATAACAAATAAACACATTAAACTTTGGAAGTAAATGTATTTCCAGTTCGTTGCAATTATTAAAAATTAGATAAGAAAAACATTCAAGTATACGTGTAAAACATATATATTTTTATACGTATTTTAAATGGTTTCAGAAGGTGAATAAGATCGAAGAAAAATTTGTTCGATGGAAGAAATGGCAAAAAATGAATGTTTGCTACACCATACAGTAGAAAAAAATATGTGCATTAATGTAAAGAAACGCAGGTAATCTTGAAAAAAACAGAAAAAATGGCATTTATAAAAAAATGTTTTCTTCCATCTTATTCATCCTTCCAAACTATTTAAATTAGGAATAAAAACATTCTCGCACCTCTCAAAGGATTAAATATTTTGGCGGGTGAAAGGTCCCAAGGGACTCAGTGATATTTAAAATTTCTCTTTATAATCTTTCATTAAGTTTCCATCGTTCAATAGTAATTGCACTATTTGTGAAAATTAACCTGCCCGTGTTAAGGATTAATGCGCAGTTAAGTTTTTTAAATATACTGCTATGGAAGAACTAATTTCTAGTTGACACTGCTTATCTTCCCGAAATTGCTATTTTGGTGTTCAGATTACGTGTACTTTGGTACTTGGCCAACTTGACGATCTCACTATATCGATTCCACCAACTGTACGTTATTATATTTATGGGTCTCTGAACGCTGAAAACGCGTTGTAATTTCCTACGTAGCGACGTTTGTACTTAGATAATTAGATGTCAGGAAATATTGCTGGATGTGGCATTAAGAAATCATGCATTACACATTTACCCACACGCGATGAATCGAAATAGCTATCGCAGCCAGAAGAGGTTAAATATTGGTCAATACGGAAGCGAATCAGCGTAATACGAGTAGGTAGAGTCGCAACAAGAAAAAGAAACGATGTGATATTACCAAATTCACTGTTTGGTATAATTGTAGGATTAGCTACTTAAATGATCAGTTTACTTCCGAGAAAAGTAAGAACTTCATTGTATTAAACTTCAATGATATATGTTGTTCTTACATCTTACTGTTTGCGTTACATTTAGCTTTTCATTTGAAATTTCGAAATTTTAATGTTTAATCTTCTGGCCTAGTTGTACGATTACAATATTACACACAAACCGTTGCATAAACTTCTAATTTCCATTGACGAGCGTGCATACATTGGAACACAACTAGTTGATCTTTAATTATACCGTAGGAATTGTCTGCACATTTCTGCAATTCCTGAATACACGATGAGCCTTATCTGTGTTCCCATGTGCAGCAGTGACGCGGGTTTAAACTCCGTGACCACTTAAATTTCAAAGAGATTCCAGTATACCCAAATTATTTTTCCCGGGGAATTCGTGAACACTCCTTCTAATTATACATTCACTTCAAAATTACTCGATCTAATTTGTGTCTCTATTATGGAGTACATTGGGAAAAGGATTAAGATAATGATAAGAAGAGGTTTCAGTAGAGAAAGTTTTCTGGGGTTCGTAAATTCTTTAGAAAAACAAATTATTCGTTCGTTAATTTTTCAGAAAGAGAAGTTTTCCAGTACTCATATATCCCTCAGAGCAAGAACTCTAATATTTATGAATTTTTCAGAAAAGAACATTACTGAAATCCTACGAATTAATTTCACGAATTCAATTTTCTCAGTTAAAGATTTTTTTCCTTGGTTACGGTTAACCCCAGACTCAAAAACCCCCTTTTTGTCTACTATGCAAAATTCTTTGCATCTTTGTTTACATCCAAACTGCGAGACTTACGATTCCAATATCATCGAGATTAACTCTAGGAAGCTCCAGGGAGGGTAGAAAAATGTCCACAAAGTATAAAATAACTTGCATAGGCTGCTAATAATCTGTTTCTGTGTCAGAAAGTAATTTTATTTAATGATTGTAAACAAACAAATTAGATGACATGTTTATTTTTTTTTTATTACAATTAACCCCTTAACCTATGATTTCTTTTCTGACTATGCATCTAAGCGTCAGCCATTTTCTGTTTTAGTACTGTACCAGGTAACAAAAACTAATCTGTCACAGATTAATTACATTTAGCAATTCTCAGTCCTACAAATTTAAACGAAAATTAGGATCACTATTCATTTTTCTTACTAATACAACTATTTTTGTCACATCTCCGCCAGAAACTCTGCCACGAGTCTGACACGTTGTCATATGTTAAGGGGTTAGATTAAAATTTAGAACAGTTTCTTCTTCCTAGGGTTAAAACTGCTCGTGTATTGTCCATCGCAATGGTTCGAAAATATAGGTATAGATAAACAGGCCTGAAAATCAAAACTAAAATTGAAGGATTCCATATCACAATGTCGTAAGTGCTAAATTTTTCGAAACTGAGATAACAAAACCGCAACGTTGTGAGTACCATTGTACATAATTGCTGCTTAGCACTCCTGGCATTGCACAAGGAGGAAACAATTTTATTAATTAGTATTTTCTTTATTGTTACTGTCTACATCCTTATACTGGTTTCCATTTTTGTGGTTTGGTGATCAGGTGATGAGTTTTTTTTACCAGGTCCAATGTTCCTCTATTGCTGCTGTCATATTTATAGCATTCCACAAGGAGGAAACGCTGTATCAGTTATTCTTATTTTTATTGTTATGGTCTTTATCTTTATCCTGGCTATTTTTGTCGTTTGATGAGCATGTATTGATTTCTTTTTCCCAAGTCATATGTTCTTCTATTACTGCTTTAATGTTTCTCTGACTACTGCTTCCGTTTTCAATATGATTCTTTTTCATATATTTGAGTGGATATGTGCGTATGTATTTTTTGCTTCTGCTTCTGTTACAAAAATTATTCTGTAGTCATAAGTGCTCAAAATATTCGTTATATATATATACGTTGAAAAACAACGCAGCTAGAGTTGTAGAAGGTAAACAAGCGTTGAAATTATTCCGATAGCTGTTCTGAGAACGCCTCTATACAGACCTATAGGCGCGAGAGGAAAGCCAGCGAGCCAGGGATGCCGATGTAGTGACAGAAAAGTCGATGCTGGCTGAATTCAACCTCCTCTGATCTGTGCAATGTGCAACGTGGTGGTCACCGTCTAACAAAAGAAGAGCGCGTTTACGCGTTCCCCAGAATTCACGGCGCAACGCGATTCCTATAAGCCTGTGTGTTGTTCCTTGCGGTGCAGCGCGCCGCTTCTCGCCTCTCACGTGTTGGCGCGCTTTAATGACATGCAATTTTGCAACGTAGCTCTCTGCCCGGAGTCCTTGACGCTGGAAACTATATAAACGGACCGCTTATAATTGGCTAAGCTAGCTGGAAGATTTTTAACCGAGCACACCATGTCGTTCCACGTCGTAGAGGCGCTCGCCGTTGCGCTATGCGCCGTCGTCCTCGTCGCTGGGGATTATCAGCTTCGTAAGTTGCACAGACTTGTTTTTAGGCTCGTCTGCTCATGTTTACCCTCTTTTTGTTGCTCCTTATTATTTGTTCTGGTAAGGGTTGCGGAGGGATTTGCGAAGGAGTGAGTTTTCGATTCATCATTCTAGCATGTAAATAAATCACCATTGACAAGTTCTTTTCTTCGAATACTTGAGTGACCCATATACAGTGACCCAAGTGAACTTTTCTCGTTTGGATTTCTGACATAAAGTAAACAGGAAACCGCCGTTTCTTGACTCGTTATTAAAGTAGGACGTCTGAAATTATCATATGGGACTACTGGAACATTCTGATCATTACAGTTCATTCATGAAAACAAAGCTTTTAGTAGGTAATGCAGAAACCGATAGAACTCTTGCGCTCACCTAATATTTATTCTCGGGTATCGTGTTATTTTCTTCTTTTCTGTAGAAATATCGGAGTTTTCTTTGTAGAGGAGTGAATTTTTTATTCATGACTCTACTATTTGCTCTTGGGTACTTTGATTAGTGATTTTTATCCGATTATAAGGTCTTCCTTTTTTTAGTAGAATTCTTTTTGTAGGGGGATGAGTTTTTTATTCAGATTCTAATATTCACATTTCGGTACTTTGTTTAGTTTCCGTTTTGTTCTATATTAATATAAAGCTCTTGAATTACTCTTTCTCAGAAGTGCTGGGTTTTTCTATGGGGGTGAATACCGTTTTCCTACTTTTTGGTTTGTTTTTTCTTTCACGTGATAAAAAAGATAAAAATTTGCGATATTGTATTGTGTTTTCGTTTTACAAATCTAGTGAAAATTTGTTGGAAAGGGTGGGTAGGATATATTGAGGCAGAGTGAGTTAAATTTGAGGTTTCTCGGTCATTGTTTCACTTCTTTCACAAAGGTAGAATAGATACCACATTTTTTAAAGGCTGAGTGGTGTAAATTAAGGTTGAATGAAAGTAATGTAGATATTACAAGTTCATTCTTCTTGAAACATAATAAGGGTAACTTTTTGTTACCTTTTGTTACTTTTGCTCCGTTTTACTCAAGGATTTTACAATTGCAGCATAGCTTCTTTCCAAGATATAAAATGATATTTAAAATGCTATTGACGATAGTTAGCAAAACTAAGGAAAATCGCAGAGGAGATGATTCAGTTGTACCTGACAAAAATTTCAGACTGAATGGAAAATAGTGTAAAATAAAAGTTATTGAATTGAAACAATTGAAACAACTAATCTCGTTTTTCTCTAAGATTACGAGTAAAAGTTCCCGCCATTGGATTTACAGAACTACGATTTAGTAAGTTAGAAAGTTAACGTGGGTCGTTTGTGCGCATATTGGTGAGTTGAATTTTAGCGAAATCTGAAAACTGCCGCTCACTGGGTGTATTCAATTTTCCTCATGAATCACAGAGTAACGTGAACTCGGTTTCGTGATCCTTTTAATTTATGCCTTTTTTGTCCTCTAGCTGGAACCGTGAATACTTGTAAGAAGGATGCCGATGACTTTTCATCCTGCTTGAGACTTGCCATTCAAGAGTCATGGCCCACATTCGTTGAAGGTACATTATATTTACTTTTCCGATGTAACAATTATTAAACAACTATCAAAGTAGAACATTCTAACGAGTTAGGTATTTATGCAGTGAGTTTGCTGTTTTCAAACGCGTCACAACCCAATAATCACAATTTTTCTCTTCTTTCTTTTTTATTTAAACTTGTTTCTACTTCTCTTTTGAACGACATTAATGCAACAGGCCTTACATAATATCGCATAATTGCAAAGGTCATATTAAAAGTTGCAAGAATAAATTAATTTATCGGCGAGAGAAGGTGCATATAGATTTTCATTGAAATCGTTCTTTTCTGTTTTTAACAATGCTTGACATCATCCGTCCAGAATTCTGTTCATTATTCATTTCTCAACGATTTCAGATAGTAAACATTTTCCATTCACTTCACCGACGTTTTTTACAGTAGTCGAAACGTACGAAACTCGCTTAGTATGACGTGTCAATAATGCAAGCCTTCACTGTGCATTTTCAATATTGACATTTTTGATTAACGAGCAAGGATGAATGATTATTTCGACTTCTGAACGAAGAATAAAAATTTCATCGTGTAAACGATTTTATCATTCCTTTTTATGATTTTCGTTTCTATAGTTATTCTTATTACGGTTAAAAGAACAAACATTCAAAATCTAAAACAAAAATTTTAAAATATACAATAGACAAAATTTTATTCAATTTTAAATGCTAAAGTGACTTATGAACTATCTTGTAGAATTATTTTTGGTTTTCGTGAACGATCAGTAATGTTTTATTTTTAATCCCGAAAAAATCGATCTATCATTTTTTATTCACCAATAGCGACTAATGCGTGTTAAATTCTGAATCAGGATTGTCAGATTTCGGCATACCAAAATTGGACCCTTACTACGTCGAGAGCCAATCCGCTGAATACCAAAATGGCCAGCTTCATGGAAAAATGTCGGCTTCGGATCTTCGAACGTACGGTCTTGCCAAAGCACGCTTCTTGGCCGTGAGACCGGAAATGACCGGCGATTTCTTCCGACTGGAAATTGACGTCGAGTTACCGAAGATTCTGATGGACGGTGATTACAAAGCCGAGGGCAATTTTGGTAGCTTCAAAGTTGGTGGAAAAGGTACATTTACACCAGTTTACCTAAAATTAATATTTAACTTTTTGAGATGCTGATGATATACACAATAACTCCATTCATCTTTTATTTTCATCGAAGTAAGGCAAATTAAAGAAAGAAATAAAAATAAATAAATTCATAAACATTTGTCACTTTTTTCTTCTTAAAACTAAACTTTTGTTTTTTTAGAGTCTTTGCTCTTAGAGCGTTAAAAGTTAATAATTCTGAACCTTACAGCCAGACTAACTCAACTTCATTTTTTTGAAATTTAGTTATATACATCATACTGCTCTTGTTTTACTTTACTTGTCTAATAAATAAAGGCAAATTAACATAATAAACATAATGATGTGACCTGAAAAAAGATTTAATTGTACGAACTACTTCAAGTACAATGTCGTTTTAAATCTGAACACTGATAGTTTTTCTTTGTTCTATTGTTAAATTACAGTAGAAGACTTGGGTTAGTCTGGTTGTGACGTAGAGAATTCTTACCTTGAATTTTTTAAAGTTTTTAAGTCTTATGTATGTATGTATTCAAATCGCTTGAAGAATTCCACTCAGAATTTTACGAAATAAATCTCACATTGGCGGTCAAGATTGGCATGTTCATCGAGAATCAGCTTGTATCGCATTCTTTACGCTTGTATTCAATAGGATTCTTCAACGTCAGTATGGAGGACATCAAATGCACCTGGGACATTACTGGCAATGTCGTGGACGACAGATGGGTCATCGAGCATTTCAAAATGGCACCCACAGTTGGGAACATGAAGATCTGGTTCAGTGATCTCTTCAACGGAAACGAAGATCTGAGTAAGTATAATACGCTAACGTCATTAAACAACAACAAACGGACCGGTGTTATTTACGATCAATTAAAACAATGAAATATGGTATTGATAATGGTATATTTATTATGTAATCTACAGGGATAGCTCAAGATTTTTCACAAAAATAAACTATCCACTAGATCCTATAGATCCTATTCTAGATCATACATACTATTTAAATCAAATATGATATACATTAGGAGTGAGATGTTTAACCCTTTAAAGCCTGAGCAATTTTTCTTTCTTTCAGCAAATTTTCCTCCATTTGGGAATCTCAAATATCTCAAAACCTTTCTTTATCCGAGCAAATTTGTTTTCCTTCGGGAGTCTCAATTGTCTCAAATATCTCAAAACTTTTCCTTCTCTCGGCAAATTTTCCTTCATTTGGTATTTCTTTTATTTCTTTTCTTTTATCTCAAACCATTATTTTATCTGAACAGATTCTTTTCACTTGGGAATCCAAAATATCTCAAAACTAAGTACCTTTACCCTGACTCTCTGAAAAACTAAAGAAGTTTATGAAATATAAAATGAAAAATGTCAAAAGTGTGAGTGTCGGTGCTCATTCAGACCCTCGAAGGTAATTAACCCGATTTTCACGCAACGTTACGATAATTGAGGAAGTTTGATCGATGACATAATCGTTACATGATTGTAGTAAAAGGCCACATGACATAATATAAGTACAGTAGTTCATTGTTTACTTAAGGCAACTGCCTCGAATCGACAGAAACTTTCATTAGATGAACGACGTTGTTCCGACATCCTATCATTGCATAATGTTACGTTACCGCGCGTACACGGGTTTCAAGAGAATCCTGTGCCACTTAATTAGCATGCAATTGCAATGTCCTACTGTTATTTGCTGCTTACCCTCGTACTTTTGTCTTCAGTAGCGTCATTCGCCTTTTTCCGCTGTAATATCGCCAGGCTGTTACGTGATCTGCTACTTGAGGCGAGCATGGACTGTTCAGACTTACGTTGTTAGCTATATTGTTGTTTCTATTATTATTAGGTTGGCGCATATGAAATTGCTGCTTCGCGTAGGGAAATTTGAACGAAAATATCTTTGGCCTTTTAATTATCCTATGTGATCAATATAATCGTCGAGCTGTAAGCTTCTGTGAAAACTTTAGGGTCCAATAAAAGATTTGACCGACAGCGTTGTTCATTTTCGAAATTTTCTACGTCAGTAGGACATTTTTTAAACCAGTTTCTGACGGTCGTTTCAGAGATGGGAGTTTCAGACAGGGGACATCGTCCAAATATCTCAAAATTAAACGCCTCTACTCAGAGTATCTCAAAAATCAAAGAAGGTATAGTCGGCGGAAGCGATACAGTGAGGCGTGAAGATACAGGTAATCCGAGCACCAAAACAGCAATTCTAAGGAGATGAGGAGCTCGTCAACTCGGAATTGGTTCCTTTATTGCAGTATATTTAAAAAATTTGTCTGCGCCTTAATTGTTGACAGCTGCAAGTTAATTTTTGCTAATACGAGAATTACTATTGAGCAGGATGCGACCAAGGGTTAATATCGTAATTATATTTTAAATGAAAAATTGTCAGATGAAAATTTAGATATCAATTAATAAATGACGGAGGGTCCTGGGTGCGCCTACATCAATCGGCGTCGCCGCTTAATGCTTTAACTTACGACTTCACTGTATCGCTTCCACCAACTATACCTGCATCATTCCTCTGTGTTTAATTGCTTAAAATTTGTATATACAGGTTAATACAAAATTTAAAGCGTTAAAAGTGTGAGTGTCAATGCACTCATTCAGGCATTCAAGGGTTAATTAACTCGATTTTCACGCAACGTTAGAATAATTGAAGAAGTCTTACCGATGACATAATCGTTACATGGTTACTGTAAAAAGCGACGTGACATAATATACACGGAATAACACATACCGGTTTTATACTCTGCAGTTACGATTACATAGAAGGTGCTGTAATAGAAAATAGCAAATTCATTAGTCAAAGTCCATAAGAAGTCAAATGAAATGCATGCTGAGCAAGTATCGACTTTTTGTCACTTTATAGTAATTTTCGGAAATTGAGGAGAAAGTGTATTTGTGAGGTCCATTTTGTAGTCTCTACTGACGAATTTTTGTCAAAAATATATTTACAAACGCATGATATTTTCAGCTATGGTGGCGCCATCTATAATCTTGCCCAAATTTCGTTTACATCATATTATTCTTCGCGAAGAAGCAGACAGAATTCATATTTAACATTCTTTTCTACGTCAATTCGTTTTCGAGATATTCTAATTAATAGTTTTCCAGCTCACAAGTTTCGAGGGTGATTTCACCCCTTAACCCTTTCGCGACGGCGGAACTAGCCATCGGTACGCCACTAACGAACGTGTCGTCGTGCCATTAGTGCACACCATACACATTAAGAGTGTCCCGTGTTTTTTCAAATCTTAGAGGATTTCGTTGGAACAGCAGAGGACTTAAGGGTGTATCGGACAAAGGGAATGTCGTTGAGGCCTTGTTCTGTATTTTAAAATAAATCTTCACTTTGAGTTGTTGAGGCGCGAGCCAATGCGACGCACTTAGTGGATGCCGGATATAACCGGCGCTAGCCAGTGTGAAGCATTTAGTGGATGCTGGATATAACCGGCGCTAGTCGCGAAAGGGTTAAGCATGAATATTAGCAGCTAATATTTTTGGATTCTCTAGCTGCCTGCAAAATTTTATCAAAATCGGTGTGTATCGGTTAAGTAATGTCCTTTGTGAGTCCACATTTCAAATCACAAAATATAATTGCAGCGAATCCATCTTTTCAAAAATACACAACTACAATACAGTTATTTCTATACTATCTGATTTCTTCCTAAAGTCTGAAGAATGATTGTTTTTCGTAATGTTTGCAATTTTTGCTCTGATGATCTAGATATTGTTTAATTCGATCCTTTTGATTGGAAAATTTTCACCGAACATGATGCTATGAAAATTTTGTAGTCGTGTTTCACGGAAACATTGAAGTTCTTGCGTTGTATTGAACGAGGAATCTCCCGTTGAATTTATGTGGCTGTCTAATGTTAATAACAGCAATTACTAGGTACTTGCATACTTAAACATATTGTTTCTCGTTTATCTTTGTCACCAATCAGTGGAGTAATATATCGAGTAGTGTTCTTCTTGCATACTTTGTGATCACTTGTACAGTTACTATGTACGGTTTTAATTATTTCCACTTGTTTTTAAAGAAATTATTTTACATATTTCTGGTATTTATGAAGATCAAGCAAAAGATCAAGAAAAATAAATTACTGTTGCATTCACAAGATCATTATTAAAAAACTATGATTCAAATATTTAATTTTAGTACATTTTAATGAACACGTTCGCTACCACGGTTCTGTTGAAGCATCGCCTTATATCCTTCGTATTATTTTCATAATATTAGGTTGATGCATACGGAACGTCGTTATTTGAAATGAAACTGTACTTTAAACAAAAATGCATTTAATCAAAATATTTTCCACCCGACTCTATATATTTTTCCCAACGATTAATTAGCTTCATTATTCCAAAGATATAAAAATCATTAGTCTTTGAATTACAAATTTTTTTCAATGCTTCTTTTACGGAATAATTTATTTGTTAAAAGATTCTTCAGGTATTTGAAGAAATGGTAGTCCGTTGAGGAAAGGTCGAGTGAATAGTGGAGGATGTGGCAGCATTTTATATTCTTTACAGTTTTCAATAATTTTTCTTAAAACGTTATCATCTCAGGCCCTATTTGGTCTTCCTCTTGGCTCATTTCCAATGAAATGTCACCAATCTTGATCTTTGCACACCAACGTTGAAATGTCCCAACATTTACATAACCTTCTTCAACTACTACATTTATATCTTCAGCAGTTTTTTAAAGTTTAAACTTGCGTAAAAAATTGCGTGCATATTCTCATTATTCGTCACGCCTGTTAATAATGTCCAAACAATTGTGTCACGAATTTTTGGTGCTATTCAATAACACATCTACTACAGCAAATTTCTTCTTAACTGTTGTGTGTAAAAATTTATCAACCCTTCAATTTCAGCTGTCAAAGAAGCTACACTTCATTTGCACGTCGGAACCTGTGCATTTTGTATAATGTATTAAATGTAGATAATGCCGATCTATCATAAGAATTGGCGCGCCACACACACAGGGTGTTACGTTTAAGCGAGAACGGTGCAATATCTCTTGAAACTATAAAAAGAATGTTCCTACAAAAGTTGTTTGTTATAAAGGGGAACACTATGCGGTGTAAATAATTTTTCTGTGGATGTAGTAGTGGGGGAGATATCAAAGTCAAGTTAATTTTTTAAATGGAATCCTGTATTTTTTTGTTCATAATACGAATACGAAGCGCCATATTAAGTTATTTCTTAAGTCACTGGACAAAAAAATTCGTTTCAAGGGAAAAGCAGAGAATTTACAAAAAAAAAAGAAAGAAAATTTATAAAAGTTTGCTCTAAAATCAACTGTCTTCTTTTAGATCGTGCTGCTCTGATCTTCGTTAACGAGTACTGGCCCCTGGTGTACCGCGGAATGCTACCAAAACTGATGGAACTGTGGGACGTGCACATGACCGAGCTCACCAATAATTTCTTCTCGAAGATACCATTCTCGACGGTGTTCCCTTGAGACACGTCCAAGTTGTAGCAAATAAAATAATTAAAAAAAAAAAAGAAATCGGACTGGTGACGGAAAGCAGCTCGATAGAGCTTGTGATGGAGGTAGAGGAAGGCGGAATGAAAGAAAGAAGCGAAGGACATGTTGAATAACACAGTATAATGCGAACAATTCTAAGGACACGTTGTAAAATTCATTTAACATTTAAATCGTCTGTTCTTCCAGTATTATTTGCTAATGAGGGCACACCTGTGATTGTTACCAAGCTTATACGAATTGTTAATTGTTATTGGACGAAGTTTAGGTGATGTAAATAAAAGAGAAACCAATGCCAAATGTTAATTTGTTCGAATGATTTCGTGGTCTAGGTGACTTCATTTTATTCCCGGTGACCATGACGTTGTTACAGTAATTGCTAATAAAGATCGATCGTTGTATTACCTGCGGTTCAATTCTTAATCCTTTCGAATGAATTTTTCTCTGCATTTCGATTAATCACATACACATGTTGTAAATCTCGCAAATCTTAATTAATTGTTTAGTTATTTTCGAATCGTTGTCACATAAATCAGATTTATCTTGGAATTGTTTTTAACGAATTCGGTGAAGTAATTCAATTTGATCAACGTAGATTGCGATAAAATTGAAGCTGTTTATTTTGAGCACTTGTGGGAAGATGAAACACCCTTTAGAAGAAATATCTGAATAAAAAATTACGTTTAAACGGAAAGAATAGCACGAATGGAAGGTGTAGCTATACCAATAATTTTCTAATATTCATAAAATTGTAGGTCAGTGAAGGTAGGTCTAGAATACAAAATATACGCAAATTAAGTAAAAATATGTTCACATGTCGCAAGACTAGAAACTTAATAATTGAACGATTGCATTCTACGAAACTGAACGATCCCTCTTTTGCAACCTTTCGCAGTGACTCACATTCTCGAGGGCAAATTATTGACTAAAAAGCAAATTCATACTTTTATAAATATATATATGTATATATATATATTTGATTTTTTCTTTTTCTCTACAATAACATCAACCGTTACATTGAATTGTACTGAAACTAAACCTCGTAACAATACTGTCCTTTCTTTATCCTCTTGATATGACCCAAGTTATGATTCATTAGTGGTGTTGTAACTCTATGTACAAAGTAGAATGTGCTATAATTCGAACAGCTTGTCTTTCGTTTCTTTCTTTTTGCTTCCTCTCGCGAGATATCGAGGGAGAAACGTGAAATTTAAGGCAGCAGAAACACTTCCACTGGCACGTGACGTAACAATTGATTGACGATGCCGGCGAAAAGTACCGACAGCTTCCTTTTCAGCTGGGGTTCCATCACCTTCAACACTTCTTGTCCGTTCTCTCGAAGAAACAGGTTGGTTGCCTCCGCTGTAATAATAATTATCATCTGATTTAATGTGTTCAGTACTGTAGGAAGATTATAAATTTTAACAGAAGTTTAAAACTTTTTTAGAGATTTATTTCAAAGATGAAGAAAATATTTTTTTACGTATTTTACTTAAATACTCTAAATATTCAAATCTTCTCTCCATTTTTATAAATTACTTACTGAGAATCCGATTGTTATTAAAAATTTTGCGGACCCTCATTTGCACGTTCTTCACGTCCAGAACAACGTCGAGATTCTCCACGTTGAGATACGTCTTTCCATCTCGCATTTTCGTCGAGACGGTGCCTTTGACTAGAGCTCTAACATCGTCGAATCGCGCGTGAAATGTTCCATTACCACTGGCTGGTAGAATAATTAGCACTCCAGAACTAGTATATAAAGCAAAAATTAGCAATAATACCAATCGAATTTAGTTAAAAGTGAAACAATTGTTATTGTTACGTTCTCTAATTTCTATTTTCAGAACTTATTCAGTCGATAAATATCTGTTCCCATTATTTTTAATTAATTGATATTATTAACACACTTTTAATACACTATACTGTGCAAAAAAGTGATATATGTACCGATTTTTTTCTCGAGACTTTTCTTTAATTTTTATCTTTGAAATTTTCCAGACTCTCAATATTTGTTCCCATTATTCTTAATTAATTATAAATTTTTGGTGCACTATTCTGTGCAAAAAGACACGATATACGTAACTATGAAAATGGCCTATGTCATATATTTTTTGCTTCGAAATATTTAGACTTTTTGTCTATGCTTTCGGACATTTTGTCTACTAGCTCCACTTAACAGTTCAATGTCCAACAATTTTGCAGATATGGTTCCACGTTATTCTAACGTGAATCAATGCAATACAAAATAAATGATAAATTTTACTTTCTTTTTTTTTCTTTTGGTTCTATATTTCATTTCTTTTTAGTATAATACAGGGTGAGTCGTCTAACCTAACATAACCTAAAATATCTCCGTTGTTTTTAGCGATACAAGAAAGTATGTAAGAAAGGAAGTGTTCGTTTCGAAGGAACAAATATCGCGATAAAGAGAAGTTCTTTTTCAAGATCGTATTTTATGAGAATTTAAGGTCGCTAAAATTTATTTAAATGGAAAGCACATATTATACGTATAGAGCAGAGAAATATATACTCTAAGATGTGAATGAAATGTGAATAAAATGGACCGTTGGGGAGCAGAATCTAAATAGAGCAAAGACGTTTGATGATCGTGAAGCAAACCTGGAATAATGCGCATCCAAGATGAGGGCTGGCATTCGTACAATGGCTTCGAAGGGTGAGCCAAGTTTAATGTCCTCCACAGTATAGTTACTCGCTCCCTTTACGAACAATTCGCGCAGTTGTACCTTGTAACCGTTTATACCACCTGTCAGGGAGAGAGTCAGCTCGTCCATCTGTTGGAATAAGCGATGTCATGGCAAATACAATAACCAGTAGCAAACAGATCGATATTCAAATTTGCAAATCTTCTTTCAATTATTTCAAGCTTCGACGTACAGGGCGCGGCTGGAAGTCATGCACATACAAGCGAGCACGAGGTGATTTCTTGTGCACAAATAAAAGAAAATTGTAGAATAAAATTTGTTCATCCGAGGCTTAGTTTTCCAGACTATAATCGACATAACACTAAGTTTGGAGTTATAATTACATTTTCATTACTTGATGCTCAGATATTTGGAATACTTAGAATAATTTAAATGTATAAAGTGAAATATAGACACTGATTTTTGAACATTCCAACACGTGGAAAAAATAAATGTAAAAAACTTTATCGAGTTACCTTGCTTTCTAATAATATTTTACGTTTAAGATTTTTATTTGAAAATGAAATTACTACGTTCGTAATAGCAAGTATGTCAGAAACAAGAGTATTTTAATCTTTTATCAGATATTTGGTTAAATATAATGATTATAGTGAAATTGAATGAATAGTTAAGGAACTGTATATAAATTTCACTTAACGAGGTAGGAAGTACTAACTTCTAATGCATCGAGAAAATATCGAAAGTGACGAGAGCTTACGCGAAACGGTTCCACGGAAGGCAACTCGATTTCCGGTATCCCAACACTCAAGTACGGTCTCAGATGGTGCAGGGCATCGATCAGACAGGTTTTCAGCTTTGGATCGCTTCTCGAACACTGTTTCACATACTCGGCTGCAATTACAGAATGCATTTATTAAGCAACTAACTGGCAATATGCAAGGATTACCAGAAATAAAATCTATATTTTTTGAAACTGTAATTAGATTCATTTTAGTATTTTATTTCATTTATTTAAATATTTCACTTTTTTGAAATTGCAATTAGACTCAATTTCTACTTATAATACAATTTCTCATACTTTCTTTTAGCATTTTATCTCACTTATTTAAATTTCAAGTAACAGTTCTATGATAAGAAAGCTCATGATTTAAATTTTGAAATAATGCAATGATAAAAGAAAGGACGTTTCTAAAGAAATTTAATGTTTCTTACTGTCTTATGAAGCAACAAATGAAATGGACGAGGATTACAATGATAAATCTATAATTGAAGGGTTCCGTACTGCAACGTTGTAAATGCCAAAGGAACGAACTCTTTCTCTCTACCTTTGAAAATTGCTTAGAGCATTCCCACGAGACGGGTTACCAGAATCCTTGTGAGAATCAAATCTCTATGTGGAAGCTTCTTTATGTACAGAAAGACTTCGTTGTGATTAATTTCTATGCTGATTTTGTGCAATATGGAATTGTATTTGGGTTTATTTTTGTTTCTTTCTAAACTGTTTTTACTTTTATAAACATTTTTTTATTTTTCACGGCTTCTTTATGACTCATATACTCTGTTTACTTTTGGATTTTTCTGCTTTGTTTATTTGTCTTGGGTCTTGGAGGTATTCTTTAAAACTGCATTTTTAATGTTTTGTTTTTGATATCTTAACACTCTTTTTTTAGTACCCGCAAGATTTCCTTTTTTTAATATTTTTTTATCTCTCTTTCGGAATACTGATAATACACGAAACGCTAGAGTGAATTGAACCAGTGTAAACTTGAAAATGAGAAAATCACAATATTTTTATGGAATTATAATATCGAAGAATAAATTTCGATGTAATTCTTATGTCAAGAAACTTAGGGGAATAAGAAATGAAAGTATTTTCTGAGAAGTTGTCTTCGAAAGAACCGAAATCTTCTGTTTCGATGCTTGAAAAGTTCAACTAACCTTTCAGAATTTTTTTCAAATTTCCCATTTTGGCGGGAAAAGTTTGATTATCGACGGTGCCGACCAAGCCTCAGAATAATCGTGGAATATTAATTCCAGAAGAAAAGTTCTAAAATCTTAATCCAATCTCGAGAACTCGAGACTTTTAAATTAGTAATTAGACACTCTAATCATTGGACTAACAAGTCCTTTCTACACGGTTTTCTACGTATAGGTGTTTCATGAGGACGGATGCACCCACTGTAGAAAGCACTTTTGTTTCAGCCTAAAGCGTTGCTATATTAGCTACATCGACTGAATTCATTGTAAAATTCTTGATACCAATATTATACATCTTGTGATAGTTAAATATAGCAGTCTTGAAAATTTCACTTTTTGCTACTTGAAACGTTGTGTTTTGGAACCCTTCAGTTAGATGTATTTATAATTTCTTTTTGTAAGAACTTTTAGAGCTCTGTTTCAGTATTATTATGCAAAATACATATTATACTTACATTTTCAATCAAAGACGTTACATTCTAATCTAGACAACGAAATTTTCAACATTTGTCTACCAGCTTAAGTAAAAGACAATATTCACCATGATAGCTTATGAACTGAAAAAAGGGTCATTAAGCTAGACTTAATAGCCCTTAATCAGAGATGGAAATGAAGCAAGCGGAAACGGTGTGTCGCACGAAAAGCTAGTTGCCAGGCAGCTCGTCACTTTTAACCACACATTGTGAAATTCGAAAGAAATTCGCAAGGGACACTTTGCACGACTGACCTCTTTACCTCGCCTTGCACATTTATGTAACATTTTCATCCACTGTTTTTCCTGTGGTCCTGTCGCCCTAAATAAAACCAACCACCAAACAGAACTGTGCTTCAACTTTCGTTAAACCACCTACCTACAACAACCAAAAAATCCAAAACTCGAATGTCGTTGAGAAAAAAGTCCCTTTCTAACTCCAACGCACCGTATCTTCCAACTTATACTTTCACCCGGTTTTCTACAAACTTGACTCTGAACGTCAACTTGCTTTGCAATAGGAAGTGATCGTGCAAATAGGTTCGAGTTGTCAAAAAATCCTAATTACTCACGATTCGAGTCGGCGGAGAGAGTGGTGGCACCAGACGCGACCATTAGAAGGTACAACGTTGCTCTGATCATAGTCGAGTCTTTGCTAGTTTGTTGCAATGAAGAAAATTCGTGAACAGCTTTCCAGGTTAGCAACAAGGTTTCGTGTGTTTGTTAGTAATCTTCAAATTGTTTCACCAGGTAACGGACTCGTTGATAGACACCGACACTTTCGACAAGACAGCTCGAAATCCCGGGTTCCCGGCTAAACGGCACCGCTAGAATTAGACTGACTATGCAAGAGGGCATTGACAGATGCTAGATCGTAACTGCACTCGGATACTTTCACTGCTGCAACGTGCACCTGCGCCTTCTTCGTCTGGGACGACAGACGAGTCTCGGCTAGGCCATGCTCGAAAGTACCCTAGATACTCTTCGATCTTTTCCAATCTTGCCGCGCTCCTGGTTGCACTGGAAAGCTGACTACTGGAATGCCTTTCAGCGCCCCGAAGTCGCGCCTCTACAGGGTGCTTCAAAAATATCTTAACCCTCTCTGGATCTTTTTCATTTTCGTTGAAAAATCGAATTTTCCGAAAAAACCGAATAGTTATTAATTCTAGCTTCTCCCATCGAAATGTAAAATTCCAATCGAACGTAATTTATGATATTCGTGTAGAAGGAAAAGTAGGGTTGATTAGGATTTGACATTTCGATGGGAGAAACAAGAAGTAATAATTATTGGCTTGTCCGGAATATTCGCGTCGAATTTTAGGTAAATACGTGAACATCTACATTTTAAAGCAATTTATTCTGTTGTTTTACAATCTTTCGCCATTTTTCCGAAAATTGGAGAATTTAATTTTGCCAAATTTTTTCTCCTGTTTTTCTTTAAAATCGAAGTTTCCATCTCTAAATTTTACAAACCATTTGCGAAATACTCTTTTTGAATACTATACCTTCTCCGTAAACATGACATATCTCATTTCCTGATTCGGCAAAAGGATAACAGTGAACAAATAAAACGAGACTTACAAAATATATTAGATAAATGGGTACGTATGTAATTTCCAAGTTGCATTAAAGGGGGTTGACACTGTCGATATACATATATACATACAAGGTCGAAAACTTAATAGGAACAAGGTCTTCTACTTATCCATTGTAGATATTACGCATTTTAAATTTACTTATGCAAAAATTCTACAAAAACATACATAAAACTTATAAACTTTTCTTCATATTACAGCAAAATATTAGAACGTTATTCTAATTCGATAACAATCTATAAAAATTTTAATAAAACTTCTCGAAAAATCGAAACATGTAGGTATATTTTACTTACTTCTTATCTACGAATACTTTTTAAAGATATCTTTTAATTATGGTAATCGTAATTAATAAATTTTCGTCATATACCAGTGGTAAAAGGTACTAAAGTTAAAAAAAAAGAACATAATAAGTACAGAATTTAAGTACAGTGGATTCTGGTTAATTCGGACGCCGGTTAAGCGGGACCGCCGTTTATTTGGGGCAGATACTGAAGAACGGAATATAAATACGTGTTTATTTACTTACTTTTCATTACTTATTAATGTTATTTTATTAGTTATTGTTAGCTTTGTTTGCATGCTTAAACACACATTTGTATTCAAAACCGAATATTACATAGATTTTGTCTGTTGAAATTCGCTTTTTTGGGACCGCTTAATTGGGACAAATTAGTCCGGTCCCAATGTGTCCCATTTAACCGGAATCCACTGTATTATGTATATTAGATCATGCCATAAGTTCGTGTCGAAATTTATAATTTAGATCAATATTTCCAACGAACCATTAAATTTGATAAAAAAAAGAGCAAGTGCCTTCTAATTCCACAACTTTTTCCTATTTTTTTCTGTTAAGACCATTATGTCGTCGTCGTTATAGAATTTCCTTGGCTTTTTATTGCAATACTTTTTGCTTTCTGCACGAACTTATGAGATGACCTAATATTGTAACGATACAGATAATAATATAGGATTATTAATGTAAACATCGCTATAAGAATTATCTTTATTAACGTCAAAGTATTACGTTTAATATAGAAAGGAGGGTTGAAACCGAGGGTTGACATCGTCGTTCTAATGTTGAAGTTGTGAAACTGCAAAAATTGAATTTGTCAAAAGAAAGGAAAACCACTTTGTCAATTAATGTAAAATCACCTTTGTATTGATTTTATCGACCAATTATGCAACACATTACTATACGTAATCCTCGATGACAAATGAATAAAATCATGCGTTTAGCTTCGTAGAAATTGCAGTTCCTCAACTTTATCATTGAAACGACGTCATATGGAAGTAACTTTTTTTTAGAGAGACAGAACTGATAACATAATATATCATATTAATAAATGTATTTTGTCTTCAAAGTGTCTCCACTTGTTCACCATCATTGTCACCCTTCTTTCCTTTTGCAAAGGAAAGGAAAGAAAATATGTACATACTCAAATTTTCCATACAAGTGTTAACATTTTTTTGAAGCACCCTGTATTTTTGCCGCCATAATGTCGTTCGGTATTGATCTCCTTTCCTTTTCCTTCTTGTTTTCGTTTTACGGTTATTTTTCTTTTCAACGATATTGCTATTATTAGTTCAAAAGCATTGATACGAGCCAAGTATTAATTATTATAGGCGTGCGAGTTTGTTAATGTAAGAATAACAATTGAAATATAATTTTATTAATCTGTTACAGAATTTATGAAATAGTGAATGTAAGAATAATATTTGAACACTAAAGATAATTTTTATTAATATAGGATTATTAATGTAAAAATTGCTGTAACAATTATCTGTATTAATCTCACGGTATTCTCTTTAATACAGAAGGGATTTAATTGAATACCTGATTGAACATCTTAAGTGAACTTGTTAATAAATTTTCGTTATTTTTGGAAAGAAGCTGTTACTGATTAGTTGCGTAACTCTTCTTGATAATAGCGTATGAAGGTATTCTAGCATAAATATGTAATAGAAGAAAATTCAACCGTGTGTCATAGTTTATGACGAAAATTACAGAGCTAAATATACAATGCAAACAGTTCGGATAGAAGATTATATAGCAGAATGAAGAGATAATTCTTGCAATATAGCACTTTTTGCAACGTTGCCCGGCAGTTTAATTCTACTTGCAACATCGTGTAACCAGATTTTCGGTAGACTGAGCGCCAGGAATGGATTTACGAAAGTGAATTTTCGCGAATTTCCTTCAATATATGTACATTCCATACAAACGAAACATTACAGAAGCTGAACAAAAATATGTTTACAACAAAATATACAAATTTTGGTTAACAAATTATGACAGTTAAAAATTATTTTTATCAAAGTTAAGAAGTGTTTCACTTTTGTATTTTATAAAGTACCATCATTTGAGAAAAAGAGGATTCTCTTTCGGAAGTTTATTAAATGTGAATTGTTTAATTGTTTAAAGTAGGAACTACGGGATTAACAAAATGATAAAAGAGGTATACGTTTGTGTTATTTAAGAATTCCTCGAGTTTTAACTTCGTGCACTCATCCATTAAGACTCTTAGTCACTTTTTACACGGGTGTGCAGCTGGTTGCCTGTAGAAAGGCGCAGGAGAATCCCTTTCTATTGAAAGGTGCGTCATTTTAATAGTTGTAGAAATAATTACAATAATAAGCAAAAATTGCAACTCCTTCATCCACAATATTTGCACCATTAATTTTTATTCAGTACAATGTTAATAAAAATTATTTTTAAGAAAATGAAATTACAGCTTTTTCAAAGTAGATACCCAAGCATAATTTTTAATGGAGCATTTATAACCGTGCACGACATTCCAGCATAGAATTTATCAAAATGCAGTGTCCTGTAATTCTGATATATTACATAAGAAACTTTCGCTCACCAATGTAACACGATGTAACACGATATTTTTTTTTCGTTACTAGAATGTTTTTAATAACAACATTTGCCAGATGCATAATAAACCGAAATTAATTTTTACTCTTCAAATGTAATAATTCGTAGATTATACGCGAATTTTCTCTCAATTCCTATTGTTTCGACAGAGAGGTGGAAATATGATATTCGGTTTTTCCAAGATTATCGTCAGTGTGGGTACCTGATGGCAAATTATCTTTTCTGATCCTTCTGACAGTCTTCTGAAAGTTATAATTATACTAAAATAATTTCAACTAGTTTTATTGTAAGTGAATTATTTATACAAAACGTAATAAATTTCCAAGCAGAGTTATCCATCAAATTATTCGTTAAAAAATTTATTCATGCTAGAGAAATGATATTATGTATACTTTACACATAGTTTTATGTTCAACAAATAAGCGAATATTACAAAAATGTAAATGAACTGTAATTAAAATTAAAGCTTGAAAATGTAATATTCTTGGTACAAGCATAGAGATTACTTTTATGCGTGACATTAACATTCCTGATCGATGGAACAGATTTCAATGTCGATTTCTTCTCATTTCTTTTTTACGCAATTGTCAGATTTCTCCAGCTCTCCGAGAACCAATATTACTTGATCCCGCCTCCAGAGTAGAAAGGTAACAAAAAGTAATAAATAATACGAAATGTAAGGCAGGTGAAAAATGTACATTCTTCTGCATAAATTGCAGAAATATTCAGTGTTACATATTCGCAGAAGTAGATGTACAAATGTAACGACGAAGGTTAGAAAATAATTTAAGCACAACGAGTGAGATTGAAGAAGAGACTTAGGCAATTCATTTGGTGATAGAAGTACATCTGAAAAAGTTTTCAGTATTAATCCTTGAAGAAGAGAAATCGATGAAGTTGGTCAAACAAGTGTCTTTCACTTTCGTTCTCATCCTCGAGTGAAAATGGTTCTGTTTCTAATGTTGTTCTAATGTAAATTTCAACACTTTTACTTTTATAAATGCACGTATTCCTCTAATTACATCGATGTTATGTCACCTGTTTATAAAGTGAAATGATTCCTTGCGAAAATGCGAAACAGAAAATAAAACGTTTTCAGGAAGATTCAATGCTTTATGAAATGTAACACTGCAATGAAAATTCAATAATTTAGGAAAAAATCGAAG